GGGGAGAGGTGGGGGGAGACAGCTACTAATCACATTTCCCTTGTGGGAAACATAGACTGGTAATGGCCACTGCCTGAAGGTTCACCAGAGGAGCTTTGCGATGGACTGAGTTGAAGACCTTCTGATAAGCACTGCTCGTCTGTCTGTCTTATCTGCAGCCTCCGGGAGGAAGTGGCCAGGTTCCTGTCTTTCTACTGCAGGAGCCCTGTACCCCTTAAGCCGGAGAATGTGAGTGGCCCCCCTCTGTTCTTTCCTGTACTTTCATTCCCCTTCCCCAGCTTTCTGGCCAGGGGTAAGGGGGGTTGAGATCTGCCTTTCACTTTGTCTTGATTTGTTTCTAAGAGGAATTAGGAACACCCCCTCCCTTTCCCCCTCCCTTAGAGTTTGGGTGTGATTTCTGGCCTTCTTTGTCCTGTGGCCCCTCTTTGCCTCCACACCTACGGGCAAGACTGAGTGAGCAGCTCCCTCTTCTTTGCTCAGTTGACCTAGAGCAGGGCCCCCACAAATAAACCACGCGAATGAACTTGGCTTTTAGGAGGGGCCTTCAGTACCTCCTGCGGCTTTGCTGTGACAGAACCCTGAGGGGCATCAAGTTGCAACCTGGCACTCCCTCTGTGCCATCCAGGGTCAGAGGTGCAGGTCCTTGGTCCTTCGTTAAACAGTTCATCTTTGTCCCATGGATGTGTCACCCCCAGGTGGTTGTCCTGAACGGCTGTGCCTCTCTCTTCTCTGCTCTGGCCACGGTGCTGTGTGAGGCCGGGGGTAAGTGGACTATGGCCCACTTAGCACTGGGAGCTGTGCTGTGCCTACAGTGTCCCAGCTGCCTGTCCTTGAGGCTACATCACAATGCTTTTGGCCACAATAGACTACTAGACTCCAAGGGGCTGAAATAAGTGGTTGACAAGACACCCAGGCGTCAGCAGTTCCAGGGGTAGTGTGATGCCAGGGTTCTGGGCTGTCTCTCTGTGATGACCTTGGCTTTTCCACATGCTCACAGATGGCTGTTGCATCCTCACACGGCAGAGTGCGTGCTACAAGAGCCATAGTCATATTGAGAACACGTTGACCGTAGTCATGGTCAGGGGTTGTTGGTTGCCAGGAATGGAGGCCCACCCATGCTAGCGTAATTAATTATGATAATACTAGTAACATTAATTGACCACATACTATGTTCCAGGCACTGACTGAAGGCTTTACACATAGTCTGTCATATAATCCTTACTACAACCTCTATGAGGCAGGTTCTGTGGTTATCCCCATTTAACAGATGAGGAGATTAAGGCACAGAGGGTTAAGTAACTTGCTAAAATTACTCAGAGAGAGATAGTAACCAGGATTTGAACTGTAAAAGGAAGATTCATTACGAGGATATAATAGGCAATTTCCTGCCCATTCTAGGACAATGAAAAAATGGGAACAGTGGAACCCTCTCTCACTGGGATATGCAGCCTCCCTGCCGCCTTTTAATGCAGGCCTTTCTCTGGACCTTCCTGGGTCTTGTATGGCCCAGTGGTGCTAGCCTAGCTCCCTTTCCACGTGACCTTTCCATTCAAGTGCACATTCTCACAAGTGTCTGTGCTTCTCAGAGCTGTCTTGGGAGAGAGGAGGTGATGGGTTTCTGGGTGGCCAGTGGATTGTCTCCCTTGAGTCATTTGTCTGCCTCTGGTCCAATCCCTGTGGCTGGGGAAGGGAACATGCAGGACAAAGGCTGCCCCTGTTAGAGCTGTGGGTGGAGTGGACTGTGCTAACTGAAGGTCGGGAAGGGAGGGCAGCTTGACCTATGCGTCCTCTTCAGACGTGGAGGGATGCCTTCAGCTCTGCATTAGAGTAGAGCTTACGGTCACCTCATCAACCCCCATCCACAGCTAGAGTCTCTCTCTGCGTGACATCGCCTCCCTACCAAATGGTCTCAGGCTTTGCTTGAATGCCCCCAAGGGTGAAGAATCCACTCTTCCTGAAGCAGCATATTCTGTCTCTTTGTAGTTCTATATTCTGTCAAGTTTTTCCACTGATTGAGCCCAGATCCTCACCCCGTAGCTTCAACTCATGGGTCCAAGTCTCCTTAGAGTGACCCTGTGTGCTGAGTGCCTCAATGGATCCCTAAGTTTTAGTTTCCTCATTGGTAAAGTTAGGATGGCAATAGTACTTACATTAAATATTAACTACTGATTATTAGAAAAGGGACTGATCTCAATGGATCCAAGCTCTAGAATGAGTTTTGGGATTTGAGAGAGGGTATGTACCCCAGATGTTCCCCAAGATCATTGAAGTTTTGGAGAGGTGTGGGGCCAATGGACAGGGAGTCCATGAGCTCCAGCCAGAGGGTGACAGGCCCTGGCTCCCTCCTCCCCAGAGGCTTTCCTGATCCCTGCCCCTTACTATGGAGCCATCACGCAGCATACCTGTCTCTATGGCAACGTCCGACTTGTCTCTGTCTATCTGGAGAGTGAGGTAAGAGGTCCTGGAACCCCAGGTAGGGATTCCTGCAGGCCAAGACTTTCCTGCACCTGAATTTGAGGGTGGAAATGGGTGGAAGTCCATGCTGAGGTCTCAGGGGTTACGGCTGAAAGGGGAATAGAGGCTTCTGTTGTCCATGGCCAGTGCTGGGGTTGCCTGGGGCCTCCCATTCTCCCAGCTCTGAGATCCCTGGGGTTGATGTAGAAGCCAAGAGCAGTCCCAGGGACCACACTGAAATGGTGAGGTGAGGATGGGGTAGAGCAGACCTCAACATGGAAGTCCTTGGACCCCAATCAGAGGACCTTTTGGGCCTCTTCCTGAAACCTAATAGTGGTGATGGTGCCTCTGATGTGCTGGGGTGGGGAACAGTGGCAGTGAGAAGGGAGTGACCACACCTGTATTATTCCAGAGACTGTTCTAAGGAGGCTGGAGATGACAGGCAGCAGAGGTCCCCAGAGTTCAGAGGTTTGAGAGAGTCACTGAATTAGGCTGTGGATCTTTTTCCAGGTCACTGGGCTGGACACACGCCCCTTCCAGCTCACAGTGCAGAAGCTGGAGATGGCCCTGCAAGGAGCTAAATCTGAGGTCTGGGGATCAAATCAAACCAAGGCTGGGAGTGGGTGGGTCTGAGCAGGGCATGGACCCCCTTTTCCTGTGGTTGATCTGTTCCCAGGTAGGGTTGGCACTCCATGATGAGGATGGGGTAGGCATTGAACCATTCTGGGGGCAAGCAGGAGCCTTTCCCACTAAAGACTGTGATACCTCAGTGTACAAAACATCAATCAGGGAACTTGATTAAAGTATTACCCCCTCTTCACCTGATACTGATTCAGCAGGTCAGGTACGGGGCTTAGAAGTCTGAGGTTTAGCAGTCTTTCTGGCAATTTGAGGAGGTGGTCCTCCTGCACTTTGAGGGGGTCCAGCACCTCTTGAAGACAGACAAAGAGCAGGAATCCTCCAGTGGTTCTTTTCCAGTCCACTGCAAAAATCTGTCAACTCACTTTTTCTTTACTGTGGGAATTAAAGCTGTACAGGTCCACTGTGGGAATTTTAAAAGTGTAACCGCACCCATAATTCTACCAGCAAAGGCAACCCTGCTGGCATTTGGGCTTCTTTCCCCCCCTGGCTTTGTTCTCTGCATTTGTTTTCTTTCATAGTTGACATGATGCTGCAGATATAATTCTTTGCCCTCATTTGCTTCACGTTGGGTGGTGAACACGGTCCCATGACATTTCCCTGGGAGCCTGCCCGGTGACCAGCCCCACTCTGTGGGACCGTGTAGTTCTGGCCTTCAGGAGGAGCTGAGGGTGTCCTGCCCCACTGGTGGTTTCAGGGTGTGAAGGTCAAAGGCCTCATCCTCATCAGCCCCCAGAACCCTCTGGGTGACATCTACCCCCCAGAAGAGCTGCAGGAGTACCTGGAGTTTGCCAAGAGGTGAGGTACCCCACACCCAATAAAGCATCTGGCTGGTGAGGGTTCTGGTGAAAGCTTTGGGGCAGATCCTTCTACCCTCTTCTCCACTGTGGCTTCCACCTGCTTTGGCCCCTCCTGGCAGTGGGGTGGGGAGGTAGTGGTTAGTGGGATGCTAGTTCTTTCTCTCCCTCTTTGTAACAACTGCTGTCATTTATTTTACACTCTAGGGGCCAGGCACCCTGCTAAACAACTCATGTGCTCTATCTAATGCAATCCTCCCAACAACCCTATTAGGTATAGATACTGTTATTACCCTTGGTTTACTGAGCTTAAGAGTGAGGGAGGAGCCAGTCTGAATCTGTGTCTGTTTGTATTTAACTGTCTTGCACTTAACTGTGCCCTTCCTCCGTAGGGGTGCCTGAGGGCTCTGCATCTCCCCCACAGGGCTTCAAAAGCCCCTCCATCATCTGCTTTGTGTGTGTGGCTTCCTGTGTGTTTGAAAAATACAGTAAAAAGCATGTTGTTTCTGGATGAAACAATTTTGGTAACCCTGGGCAAGATCTGGTCCCTCTGGATTCTGAGTCACTGCCATCCCACCCTGGGAGATGCATTTGACCCATAAACCAACCTCTTTCTTCTCTGCCCTCCCCCCCTCACCCCCAAGGCATGAGCTGCATGTGGTGGTGGATGAGGTCTACATGCTGTCCGTGTTCGAGGAGTCAGTTGGTTACCACAGTGTCCTGAGCCTGGAAAGGTGAGGGTGCCACATCAGAGCTGACTCTGCACCCCTCCGCCCCCCTGCCCTAGTTCCTCTGTGGCTCAGCCACAGGGCATGGCCTGCTCTAGGGTGATTACTCTTCTATCCAGCTGATCCTATTGTCCTCAGAGCCCCTAATGAGAAATGGGACTAATGAGAACTGGGCCAGGTCAGTGGTTTTCAGATTGTTCTGTGGGGTTTCTGAGAGCTCCAAGGACCTGCCTTAGGATTCCTTGAGGGAGGGCTGGATGGGTGGGAAACTGGCCTTTGCTGTTTCCTTCATCCACCAAGTAGCTCCAGTTTCATTCAGTCAGTCAGTCAGTCAGTCAGTCAGTCAGTCAGTCAGTCAGTCAGTCAGTCAGTAAATATTCTGGAGCCCCTTGCATATGCCATACATTTCTGGCTGTTTGGGCTTTTTCATTGGGTTTAGTTTGAGTCAAGAATTTGTGGCCAAAATACCTTTGGAAACACTTGGACCAGATCATCGGTAAAGTCTGTAAATCTGACCTTCAGAGAATCTAACATTTCCTGATCTCTGTTCAGACCTTTCCACCCCACTGTGTCCTTTCTCTCAGCTACTTCTCCCACAGTTCTGCCAAGTAATAGAGTATGGTCTCTTACTCCCTTTCATTATGGATTAGAAAAGTGAGTCACAGAAATAGTGACGTGTCATTTACTCTGTGCCAGACACTATGCCAGCTACTGGGGATGCAACAGTAAACAAGAAAAACAGGCCCTTTCTATGTAGAACTTTTCTTTCTAACCAGAAAAACAACATTTTAGCAGCTAAATACACAGCTAGTCATTTGATTAAGTGCTAAAAAGGAGAAACCCGGGAGCCACGAGAGGATTGGCCTAGAGTACCCACTTGGTTGGTCTACTGGGGGGTGGTCAGAGAAAGTCTGTTTGAGGAAGTGACACTTGAGCTATGCTCTAGTTCAGGGTTGGCAAACATTTTTAGGTCAAATGGCAATTATTTTAGGCTTTACAGGCTATGTGGTTGGTCCTTCAGCTCTGCCATTATGTCGCCAAAGCAGCGTAGATGGTACATCCATGAAAGAGCCCGGCTGTGGTCCCATAGAACTGTGGAAATAGGCAGCAGGCCGGATTTGGTCTGCAGGCTCTAGTTTGCTGACCCCTGCTCTAGAGGATGCGTGGGAGTTGGTGATCCAAGAGATGAAACCAGGGCTTGACTTAGATCCAGATCCAGATTCATTCATCCATCCCCTCTGTTGAACCACACATGAACTTCTGCGGGTCTGTGCTGCCTCTATCCCCACACTGTGCTCTCTGCAGGCTGCCTGACCCCCAGAGGACCCATGTGATGTGGGGCACAAGCAAGGTGGGTCCCTGGCTGGCCTTGGGGGTGTCAGGGAGGTGGGAAGGCAGAGAGGTGGGTAGAACTGGCTCTCTCTGTGGAGGGCTGGCCACCGCCTTGGGTGTCTTTCTCCTGCAGGACTTTGGGATGTCTGGGCTCCGCTTTGGCACGCTGTACACGGAAAACCAGGACGTGGCCACTGCCGTGGCTTCCCTCTGCCGCTACCATGGCCTTAGTGGCTTGGTCCAGTACCAGATGGCACAGCTGCTCCAGGACCGTGGTGACCGCCTAGGCCTGACCACCTGAGAATGGGTGGAGGGTTGTAGTCAGGCTGGGACTGGCCAGGGATCATGGATGCTTTGTGCATGAGAATAATTTAGGGTGATGTTTGGAGTACCGGCTGTGGGCCAAGGCTGGGTTTGTACCCTCCTCAGTCACTTCCTGGTGGTGTAGAACATTCCTTCACCTCCTTGAGCCTCAGTTTCCTCACCTATAAAATAGGGATCATAATGGTACCTGTCTTATAGAGTTAGTGTGATTTGTCATTCATTTAGAATAGAGCTGGCATATAATAGGCACTTGGTTAGTGTGAACTCACTATTATTAGCTGTGAGCACTTAGAAAAGAGCAGAAGCTACAAACAGGAAAATGTTAGTAGCTTTTAATAATGGAAATCTCTCTACGTGGATCTATTCTGTTCCCAGGTTCAGATAGTGAGTTTAGGTAACAAAGGGACCTGTAATTGCTCCCATTTATTGAGCCCTGCCAGATGTTCTCAATGCCTCATCTCCAGTGTCTCTCTCCAGAATCCTATGAAGTAGGTATTCCTGTATTTTCCCCATTATTTTATAGATGAGAAAAGCGAGGACCAGATATGGCATACATGCTATGATAGTTAAAATTTTTAAAATAGTGACAGGATCAAATGTTGGCGAGGATGCAGACAGCTGGACTGCTCCTACAGTGCTGGAGGGAATGGAAGACGGTACAGCCACTTTGGGAAACAATTGGCAGTTGCTTTAAAAGTTAAATGCCAAATGGCCCAGCAATCCCATGGCTAGATGTTTACCATTATTGTCACACTAAAAGCTCTACGTGAATGTTTATAGCTGCTTTCTTCATTGTCTCCCAAACTGGAAGCAACCCAAATGCCTTCCGCAGGTGAATGGAGAAACACGGTGGTCTGGTGGTCTGTCCATAGGGTGGGGCGCTGATTTGCAATAAAGTCCACGACAGCACAGATTAATCTCAAAGGCAGTAAGCTGAGTGCAAGAAGTCAGTCTTGAAAGATGAAGTTATTGTGTGATTCCACTTCTGTGACACCCTGGAAAAGTGACAGAGAACACCCCAGTGTTTGTGGGGAAGGGGATGATGGGACCATAAACAGATAGCACGAGGGTGTTTTTTGGGGTGAGGGAACTGTTCAGTATCCTGCCTGTGGTGGTGGTTACTCAAATCTATAGATGTGTGAAAATTCATGGAATGGATACCAAGAAAAAAAAGTTAAAAGAAATGAGGGTTAGGGAGGTGAACTTGCCCAAGGCCCAGACCTTGTCAGGGGCCTTGCTGGAGCCGAACCTCACCCGGTGTGACTGGGAGGTATCACTGAGTGGGCCAGCCTTTGATTAGGGTCTGCATCCTGAGGGACTCCGTGTCTGCAGGACCTGGTCCTGTCAGGGCCAAGTGTCTGGATTTAAGGTGCTTTGCCCCCAGTACTGAATATTCCCATCTATCCTAATCGGCCAGCTAAAGGAGGAGCTCACTCAGGCTTGGCAGCTGGTGGCCCTTTTCTGTTTGGCATTTTAGCCTGATGGGACAGAATGGAGGGTCGGTGGGGAATTTATCTTTTGGCTTCTCTTTCATCCAAACAGACTGGATCGACCAGGTGTACCTGCTGGAGAACCATGCCCGGCTCAAGGCTGCTCACGCCTATGTCTCCGGAGAGCTCAAGGCCCTGGGGGTCCCCTTCCTGAGGCGGGGGGCAGGCTTCTTCATCTGGGTCGACTTGAGGAAGGTAGTGCAGATGGGGAGGGCGTTTCAGCCTCCCTCCAGCATGTGAGGGGCAGGGATATCTCCTCCACATCCTGAGCCCCTTCCACCCTCCCAGTACCTGCCCAAGGTCACCTTTGAGGAGGAAATGCTGCTGTGGCGTCGCTTTTTGGACAACAAGGTGCTGCTGACCTTCGGCAAGGCCTTCCAGTGTAAAGAGCCCGGGTGGTTCCGCCTGGTCTTCTCAGACCAGGCCCACCGGCTGCGCCTGGGTGAGCGCTCTGCCCTCCCAGCCCCTCCTAACTGCATCCTGCCTCTGCCTGCCCTCTGGCCCCACGCGTGGCCCCAGCACCTCACCCAGCCAGCCGTCAGTGCTGACGGGCCCTCGCTTCCCTTTCCCAGGGATGCAGAGGATCCGGCAGGTGCTCAAGGGCACGTCCCAGGTGGCAGAAGACCCCCCTTCCTGTCAGACCCAGGAGCTGAGGGGCCAGCACACGTGAGCTGGTCATTGCCTTGTGGCCGCTACTGCCAACCTGGGGCCTTCGGGATGCGAAGACTGATCATGGCTGAGCCGTTTGCCAGGAAGACAGCCTTGCCCCCGAAGGACTGTTCCTTGTCTCTTGGTGGCAGTAGGAGGCTCCTTAAGTTGTGTTTGTCTTCATCCATCCCCTTCCCCCTCTATTGTATCAAACTGGGAGAAACTAGAAGCCTCTGTTGTGAGTAATTTGTAGACGGAGGAGTCGTGACTGCCCTCAGCCCCCTGTGGACGTGAAAAGAAAACAAACAGCCTGTACCTTCTTTTTAGCAGCGCTTTCATTCTTCCTCTGTTGCCAGGGAAACAAGTCAAAGGAACAACACATATAAGAGAGAGTACGCCCCCCAAATAAAAAAGAGTGATAATTTCCAAACTACAAGGAGAAAGGACTGAATTCTAATTGTTCATATGTTCAAATTGCCCTCCACACACTCAGAATGTATAGGCTGGGACCTGGCACCTGGCACCTGGGACCTGGGACCTGGGACAGCCTGTTTGGGACCAGGTGATCGGGACCCCATGGTGGGAGTCAGGAGGGGTTTCTCTGACTCTTGGGTGCTCTTCTTCTCCTCCCTAGGAAGGAGCCACCTTCACTGATGATCTCAAACCAGAGTGCCCTACCCCTGACTGCAGGGAGGTGTGGGCCTGGACTCCCAACCCGGGCTGCTGTTGAGACAGGCAGACCAAGGCTAGGCTTTCCATCCTAAGAATGCAAAGGCCCCCACCCCATCCCCAGTTCAGAGCCCAGATGAACTTTCTGATCGGACCTTAAAGCCATGTGCTGAGGATCCTTCTTGGTGCTGACACTCCTGTTTATATATTTTAATTTATTGATTTTTTTAGAGGGAGAGCGAGAGAGATTGTTTTTCCACCTATTATTTATGCATTCATTGGTTGATACCTGTATGTGCTCTGACCTGGGATGAAACCCCCAACCTTGGCTTATTGGGACAACACTCCAACCAACTGAGCTACCTGGCCAGGGCCAGATACTCCTGTTTAGAAAAGCTGTCTCTTTCCTTGTTCTTTTAAGAGAATGTTGGTGAAGTCAGCATTTCCTTTCTGTAAACCATGCTGTTTGGGTTAGGATTTGTTCTCTTTCTTTCTGCCTTTCATTCATTCCTCCCTTCTCCCTGTCTTTTCTTGAATACCTTCAATGTGTCAGACACTGTGTTGGGTGAGTTACATGTATTATTTCTAACTCTAACATAGTAAATACCTGGGAAGCTGACAGTAATATCCCCCATTGTAGAGATGAGGGAACTGAGTCTTGAGATGGAATGATGTTCCCAAAGTCACACAGCTAAAAAGCATCCGAGCCAGGATTCAAAGTCATTTTGGTTTGGCTCAAAATCCTGTGCTCTGATGATGCCACTCTCTTAGAAAGCCACACCCTCTTCCACATTTCCTGACTCACTGGGTAAGCAGGTCTCAGTTCGATCTTTACTTTGTCCAGTATCTTCCAAGTGAGTAATGCAACAGCCTCTCCTCTTTTAACACCAAATACTAGGGCACTTGACTGTCTTCAGAGACTTCAGGTCCTGGCTTATATTTTCTTTCCTTCTCTGCAGTCACCCTCCACTTTAGCATTGTGTAGCTTCTATTATCACAGCTTCTTTACTTTCTCACCTCCAGTTACTTGCATGGTTTCCACTCCTAGAAATGTAGCCATACTATTTTAACCACACTGGATTACAAAACTCTTGTTCTTTCCAATTGCTTCTCCTTTATAACATCAGTGCCTTTGCTCATGACGTTTTTCTCTGTCTGGAATGTCCTATTGACCTCTCTACTTGTCAAAATCCTAAATATCCTCCAGGACCAGCAAAGATATCAGCTCTTGCATGAAGCCTACATCATTCCAACTGGGTGATTGCTTTCTCTTTTGAACCTTGTAGCATTTTGTTTATATTCTCCCAAGCCACTTTTCACCCTCTGCTTTGGTTAATCTTACTTGTGCAATTGTCTTTTTTATATTGAGCTCCTCCAGCATCTGGGCCCCCTTTATTTACTCAAAAAATACTCATGGAACAATCACTATGTGCCAGGCACTATGCATGCTTGGGTTATAAAGTAAATAAGATAGGCAGGTTCCTCAAAGGCTGTGCCAAACACAGATCTTTAACACAGAAAGTTCTCATTTAATGAAAGAATTTTTAATTAAAAACATATATGTGTATATTTAATACGGAGAAAAACAAGAAAAAATGCTCTCCACTTATCCAGTTCTCAAATGGGGTGTGTGTGTGTGTGTGCTAAATTTCCTATTATTTTGGGGGATGGTGGTGTGGATTTGAAATGCTGAGAAATGCTTTCTTGGGTGTGGATAAGTGGAGTGTGGGTTTCCCATTTCCAGAATACTCTCGTCCCAATCTCCCTGGATCTGTGACAAACAGGCATTAGCTTACAAGAATATTTCCAAAATTACTGCTGCTGCTGGAAGCCCCAGTGAGCGTCAGTAGAAGTGACAACTTCCACCAGATGGCGCTAACATAGCTGGGACCAGAAAGAGATTTGGATTCTGAAGCCAGTATCAATCAGTAAACTGCATAGGCTCAGTGAGTCAGTCATTTCATTAACTTCTCAGTAACATCACTAAATTTTGATTGAATTTTTTAGGTTCCACTTACTACCTTATGACAGAGATTTTACTGTGCATGTAGAAGGTTAGATCATAAATAATACAAAAACATAATGAAAATTAAAGGCTCTCTTCCCCACTTCTTCCTCCACAATCGCTCTCCCCCAAACTGTTAATTGCTTCTTAAATTCCTTCCAAAAAATATTATACATATGCCTTAATATAATTATTTACACATATATTTTATGTGTTTTGTTTTTTAACATAAAAGAGATCATACTTCCCCACTGTTTTGGACCATGCTTTCATATGAGCATATTTTGAAGATAATTCCATACCAAAATATATGCATTTTTGCATTCCATTCTTACCATGTTCCATAACTTATTTGGTTGAGTCCAGTTTTTGCTATTATTAGAAATAATACTGTAAAGAATATTTCTGATAAACCGCGTTGAGAATATCCATAGGGTAAAGTTCGTACAGAGGGGTTGTTGACTGAAGGGCACCGCATTTTACATTTGATGGATAGTGCGAGTTGCCTTCCAGGGATGTTGCACGCTCACCAGTACTGATTATAATAAAATATTACATTTTTGTCGGTTTTAGAAGTTTCATAAGTGAAGCGTGCTGCCTCGTTTGCAGTTTGCAGTTTCTTTAATTATGAACGAGGCTGCCTGGCGTTGAGTTTCACTGTGGAGCCCGAGCTTGACGCTCCCCGCCCCGGGAGAAACCCTACGCGGTGCCCTGA